GAAGCTTCACGCCAATCATCGGCCTTGCGGAGCTCTATACTCGGCATGTCAGGAATACAACATACCTATCTATCTTCCCCGCGATGCCGACTTCCCGTCAAACATGAGGGTGCGCTCTCTCCATCAAGCAATGTCGATGACGCACGAGGCATGTCTCTCCCCAAGCTCGGTTCAGGGATGCAACCAACAAATAAGGTACGGTCAGCTCGAACCGGACGAGACAATGCGCGCGCAGCCTGCCGGGTTACGAGCAGATCCCCCACACGTTAAACCCGCCAGGATCGTTCGGTTCCCCTCCACCGTAGCAAAGCTGCAGTCAAACACTGGAATAAAGTGCGGATCGGCATGCGTTCCGACTGCCGTTTGGTCAGCAAAGCCAATCAAGACCGCAGAGACGCTTCACCGGACGGATTGCGCCATTCGAGCTGAGTGCGACGTGGGAGCTGCCGCCGTCTGAATACCTCGAGCCGTAACACCCAAAACCTACAAAGTGTGGCGACCGCGTTCTGTTCATATGGCTGGTCTCGGCTCTCCACATTCAAGCCCTAAAACCTTCAAGACTCTTTGCTCATTTGGAAGGACGTCAGGATTGCCTCAGACAGATTGACGTTCGCGTCGTTTTGCAGTCTCTCTCTCTCAATAGGCATAGATTGAATCACTTCGAGATGGGCACCAATACAGATCCCACGCGGAAGCTCGACACGGCGCAAAAGGTCGACTCGCATTCTGGTGCAGCCCACGATGGCAGCATTGACATCCATGGCATTGACGATGCTGCCATCATTCCCAAGGGTGCCCTAGATCCTGTCTACGAGGCTAAAGCCCGTGTACTCAATCGCGCTGTACGTTGCCGTCTGGGAATACTTCAAGATGAGAGCACTTGACCGCTGACTTCTAGCCCCAGATTCAAGACATCGGTATGGGTTGGTACCAGTGGCAGCTCTTTATCGTCGTCGGATTCGGATGGGCAAGCGACAACCTTTGGCCAATAGTCACGTCGCTCATCTTCACTCCGATCACCAACGAATTCGGTCCTTCTCGTCCGCCTTTACTTACACTATCGCAAAACATCGGCCTTCTGGCAGGTGCCATGTTCTGGGGCTTTGGCTGCGACTTGTTTGGGAGGAAAGTGGCTTTCAATCTGACCCTCGGTCTGACTGCCCTCTGGGGGATGGCCGCTGCCGGCGCGCCCAGCTTCGCAGGCATCGGCATCTTCGCGGCCTTCTGGTCCTTCGGCGTCGGGGGCAATCTACCTGTTGATTCGGCCATCTTCCTCGAGTTCCTCCCAGGAACCCATCAATACCTATTGACAGTCCTTTCCATTGACTGGGCCATCGCTCAAGTCATTGCCACTCTCATCGCGTGGCCACTCCTCGGCAACCTCACCTGCCAAGAAGGCGCGACTTGCACCAAAGCCAACAACATGGGTTGGCGATACTTCTTGATCACCATCGGCGGCCTAACTCTGATCATGTTCTTGATTCGATTCGTCCTCTTTACCATCTACGAGTCGCCCAAGTATCTCATGGGTAAAGGCCGCGACGAAGATGCCGTCCGAATCGTTCACGAAGTTGCAAGGCGAAACGGGAAGCTCACGTCTTTGTCGATAGAGGATCTGAAGGCGTGCGAGCCCGAAGGATACGTCGCGCGCACCGATGCTGCCACAGCAGTCAGACGAAATCTGGAGAAGCTTGATCTTAGCCGGATCCGCGTGCTTTTCTCTACTCACCGCCTGGCTCTGAGTACCGGCACAATCATGGCCATCTGGGCGCTGATCGGTCTAGGGTATCCTCTCTACAACGCCTTCATACCCTACATCCAGGCCACCCGTGGAGCGGAACTGGGAGATGGCAGCACCTATTTGACGTATCGCAATAGTCTGATCATCGCGGTGCTGGGCGTGCCCGGAGCACTGCTGGGTGGGTGGCTGGTTGAGCTGCCTGCGCTGGGACGCAAAGGCACCCTTGCCATCAGCACCGTTGCAACCGGGGTCTTTCTGTACTGCTCGACGACGGCTATGACTAGCAATGCGCTGCTTGGCTGGAATTGCGCCTTTAACTTTTGCAGCAACGTCATGTACGCGGTGCTCTACGGCTTTACCCCGGAGCTCTTCCCCACTCCGCAGCGCGGCACCGGCAACGCGCTCACGGCGACTTGCAACCGCATCTTCGGGATCATGGCGGTAAGTGCTTTGTGCAAAGACTGGAAAATTAATGCTGACACAAAACCCGCAGCCCATTGTCGCTATGTTCGCTAATCTAAAGACATCGGCTCCCGTCTACACCAGCGGCGCGCTCTTCATCGCAGCTGGGCTTTTGGTGCTTATATTACCGTTTGAGTCGCGCGGGAAGGCCGCGTTGTAATCCGTTATTACCATCTAGAGGTCTCGTCAGTGTCTTACCTCTGACGGCACGTTAAACATAATTGTGACCTTTCTCCCGCTGCCGAGCAAAGTATACAGTACCCGTCAGCCTCTTGACATGGGATTATTGAAATGATCATCGACACCGCGAGTCACCTTCATGGACTATTATTCAATCGTCAACGTCGGGACGAAGCCGCTCCGGTACTCGGCCATTGTCCGCGGAGTTGGACAAATGCGTATCTACTGATCAACAAACTACACGGCCGTGTTCTTGGCGAACGAGGTTTAGAGAGCCTCCAACCCGAACATCGGCAACTCAACATGAACCCGTGGACCCATTGCAGTCTTTCGGAGTGATTCTATACGTCAATGGCAGAAAGCATATCTCGCTACGGGGGGCCCAAAGTCTTGGCGACATGGCCACTGCCCACCGTTATCTGCACCCACGGGGATTCCCCCGCTTTCCCCTCATCTTTTCTATTGAGCTGCCTCATCCAGTTTCGTTGCCAATGCTCACACTAATTCAAATCGGACCTACAATGAGAGCCTTGATGCTTTTCAATATCCCACTGCCGGTCAGCATCGGCAATTCCTCCGACATTGGTTGAATTATTGACCATCGACTCCGGAATGAGATCAGCCAAGCCAACGGTCATGTCAGGAACCGTCCCGCTCCACGCGTTGACGAGCCATTTTGCGTTGCGCGATGCTACGCTGCCCCATCGCGACTTTGGTGCCTTGCGAGAATTAGAGGGCTGTTAAAAGGGACGAAGCCGCCCTGCTCTGGAGCAACTCTGTCAGATGCTGGTTTTGCTTCGTTTTGGTACTGATCGGCATCTCACAACTCACGTTGTCCTACACAATGGTTGCTGCATCTCGCCTAAGCCTGCTTGGCTTGTCCCTACTCTCATCTGTCCAGGCGGCTAAGTATGGATACAACCACGTAACTGTGCGAAAGGACACGGATATCGTCGCCGCCAACTTCAAGGATATTGAAGGCGTCGATCTGCTGTCGCCTGCATTCTTGACCCCGGAAACCATTCCTGCAGGCTTCTCTGATGGCACGCAGGGCCCGACAGATGATGACCTTCTTGGTGAGCTTTCTACGAGCAGCTTTTCTAAACCAGTGGCTAACAAACTCAAAGACTCTTTTGTTCAAGACTTGGCCGACAAGAACGACTGGCTGACTTACAACAAAGCCAATTTCACCTCGGAGGAGGGCCGTCCGTTTCCTTACCTACACCTGTCCTCGACAAAGCTATCTCGTAGGGTTTCAAACTCGACTGGCAAGGTCAGAGTTTGGGTCCAAGGCGCCGTCCACGGCAACGAGCCAGCCGGCGATCAGTCACTTTTGGCCCTCCTCGGGGCCCTGGACGCGAACCAGACATGGGCTGCGTCGCTCCTGGAGAAGCTCGATATTGTTATTCTGCCTCGGTACAACCCCGACGGCGTTGGCTACTTTCAGCGCACTCTGGCCACCAACTATGATCCCAACCGCGATCACGTCAAGCTCGCCCGCAAGCAGACCCGTGACATCAAGACCCTCTTTGGCGAGTTTGCTCCCCACGTCGCTATCGACATGCACGAGTACAGCGCGACTGCCCGCTACGGAAGCTACTACCATGCCGCCGACGGCCTCTTCTCTGCCGCCAAGAACCTCAACATCCACCCGGACATTCGCACGCTGTCCGAGGAGGTCTTTGCCAAAAACGTTGGGTCGGCCATGGAGGCCCGAGGCCTTCGCTGGGAGCCGTACGTGACCGGCTCCACAAGCACCAACCCGGCTTTCAAGCCCACCTTCGCCGAGGCCGGCTCGGATGCAAAGATTGGTCGCAACGCCATGGGCCTTACGCAGTGCGTCACTTTCCTCATCGAGATGCGCGGCATCTTCCTCGCGGACCAGGAATTCCAGCGCCGCACCGTAGCCGGCCTGACCATGGCCTCGAGCATCATCCAAACCGCCGCCGACAACGCCGAGAAGGTCTACACGACCATCGAGTCCTCCATCGCCGACTTTGCCTCTTCCACCTCGGAGATCATCGTCACAGACTCCTCGCCGCTCGTCCAGCGCACGTTTAAAATGGTCAATATCAACAACGGCTCCGTCACCGACGTGCCCATCAACTTCCGCTCCACCACGCCCGTGACAGCCAACATCACCCGCGCCCGCCCCGAAGCCTACCTCATCCCCGTCGCATGGGCCGATCTCGCCGAGCGCCTGCGTGTGTCTGGTCTCGAGGTCGAGACACTGAGCGAGCCTTATGTCGGCACTGTGGAGGCGTATGACATCACGTCAGCCGTGTTTGAGACGGAGTACTACGAGGGCGTTGTGCGCGCTACTGTGACGACGGAGGCGCTAACCAAGGAGGTGAATCTGCCTGCTGGCAGCTTCCTTGTAAGCACAAGGCAGAAGAATGCTGCTCTTGCGTTTATGGCTCTCGAGCCGGAGAATATTGATTCGTACGCTAGTTTTAACATCGTTCCTGTTGAGGCTGGGGATGAGTACCCTATCTACAGGGTGTTGGCATGACTGCTCCAATTGAGATGATAGATACATTATTAATACAATCATTGAATGGCATCTAACTGTCGAAAACAGTTCCAACTAAGCCCTCTTTATTGGAAACATGATACATCACGCGTTAATCTTCCCCCGCCACTCAATCACCCCAACATCCTCCTTCCCCGTCATGAACCGCACCCCACACCTCAGCAACTCCGCCAACACCTCCATCTCTTCTTCATCCCGAGGGCCGTAGACCATGAGATACGAATCCGCCAGATGCAACCTGTTCGCCAGGAATGAGCCCTTGGGTAGGGAGAGGCGGTGACGCTCGGCCCAGCGTTTTTGGATGGCTAGTTTGGCGTCCGCGGGGGAGAGGTAGAGGTGGATGGAGAGGTCTGTGTGGTGGTGGGCTATTTCGCCGCGGGCTATGACGGGGGTGGATGAGGATGAAGATGAGAGAGAGGAGAGGATTTGGGGGTGGAGGAAGAGGGCTGGGTTGTTTCGTTCGTAGAGGGAGAGCTTTGTGGTTAGGAGGGAGGGGTTTTGGGTTACTGCGTTGGCGAAGAGGTTTTCGATGAACTAAAACAATGTCAGTAGATTCGTATATATACCTTAATCAAGCTCATCTCTGAGAGAGTGGGACAATTTTCATGTTCCGGGCATGATGACATGGTACTCACCCCTCTCATCTTCTCCGGCGCATGCTGACTCAACTGCCGATGCGGCACGATCCCGCCCAACTCCGCCCTCTCCCCCTTTCTCTCAGGTAGATCCCGGATCTCGGCGTGGGATCCGTGGTCTGGGTAATCGCCCGTCCAGGTGGCTGAGCTTTTGGAGAGGGCAAAGGGGCGGAGGCCGAGGGTGACGAGGAGCCAGCCTAGGGCATTGTGCGGGACGCCGCCGGGGCCGAGGGCGATGTAGGCGCGGTAGTCGCGGTAGGCTGCCCAGAGGAGGAGGGGCGTTGCGAGGGTGGTGAGGAGGGTTGGTAGGGTTGAGCGATTGCGGAGGGAGTGGAGGAGGGGATTGAGGCGGTTGAGGAGGGTTGTGAGGGGGGAAATTGAGGGCTGTGACATTTGGTTGTATGTGTGAGGTTTGGGGTTTGAGTAAATGACAGTTGTGCGATGAGTGGTAAGATCGTTGAATGCTAAGTGAAATTCTTATGGTGAGTATGGAGTGAGTACGGAGTGAGTTGAATGAGTGATAATGAGGCTGAGACGAGAGACGTTCGGGGATTTTGGGGAAGAGCGGGCGGAAGATCCGGGGAAGTGGGGTTAGTCAGCCGGAGGACCAAGCAAATGCATGTGGCCGGATGCCGAGGAAGACCTCTCTTCATCTACTCGCTAAGCAACCTTAGCTTTTCTCACATAAATGATCGGATCAGACGCGGTTCTCTGCAGCTGCGGATCGGTAGATATGTTTTACTTGAGACTTCTGGAATGGTGTATGGAAGGTAATGAGCGACTCGGTCAGATCTGAACTACAAAGAAATCGTTGACATGGGCAGGGTAAAAGAACGTGGTGAGCAGCAACCCAATGTTCAAAACCACGAAGCCAGCCACACACCCAACTCATATATCGCAGAACCCACGGCGCATGCCGCAGACTTGATCTTCTCCCACACCCAAGAACAAAACACACCTATCTTCTCCCAGGCCCATGCAAGCTTGGCCCTGAGCCACCTCCACAGTTGTGCCCAATCAATCAAATACGTAGACCCAGCTGCTGCTGCTCCGAGGCCCACGCCGGCGCAATAAGCCGCCCCAGCAACACCAGCACTGAAATGGCCGGTTGCTAGAAAGAATCCCAGGGGTCCAGAGATGAACACGCCGCTCATGTTGGCCCAAATGACACCACCTGCTCCGACCGTCGTAGATGCCAGCCCTATGATGGCAGCAAACAATGCCTTCAACGTGTCGAGTCCGCCACGACCACCGCGAGGGTCGTCGCCGTCGGGGGTTGAACTCTCTGCTGAGGCAGACGTGCCTGAGGACTTCTGGAACTCTGACATTTTCCTTTCGATCTTCGCGAGTTTCTCCTCTTCTTCAACTGTTACTGCGGTATTCCCTCTGAAGCACACAGTGTTCAGAGCACTCTGCATTAAATCGGCAATGGCCTTCAGAGCCGGGTAATAAATACCGGGGTCGGGCAGATAGACATGGCTGCCGACCCTATCGTAACCCCAGCGATGGACAGGCACGTCACAGAATGTCGATTTCTCGTCGACGAGAAGTTTGCATGGTATGTTCCCCCGAATAGCGCCGTAGATTCGAACGTTGAACTCCTTGATGACGGAGGTGACCTGATAGTAGATCGATTCGATGGCAGAGCTGACGACGATGTGAAGTTGTGTGAATTGGGAGCGACGTTTGTTGTTGACCTCTTGTTCAATGATATCCTGGAGTGCGCTCGGTCCGCAGATGAAGATGCGACGAGCTGACTCATATGTGTAGGAGTTAGTGATGCGAAGTCTCCGTCAAATAAGATGCAAGTCTTGTGAAGGGCGGTGGTTTCTTACCGCATGTCGACTTAGGCATGCTCCGTCTACTGTCCTTCACACGCTGTTCCTGCTTGGGATGGACCACGGCGATCACCAAGGCATCTTCTTGGCTGGCCTCATGTACACATTTTTTCCAGATGACCATAGCATCTGTTCCGTAGGCTTGATCCATGGAGTTTGATGAATTCCCCGATTGGGTTGCTTGGTGAGAAACCATCGAGCTGTTCTGCGCCATTGGAGGTGTACGTGTTGGGATCTTTCCCACGGACGCCGGCTTGCCCCTGGAAACAGGCTTACCCCGAGATCTGGACGCCTTGGTCATGACTTTGGCGAAAGAATGATGTAGAAGGATGAGTCGAATGACGCAGGAAGAATGAGAGTGAAGATTCTATCATTACTCCTGGAGAGGACTGCTCGACAACCCCCTCTTATAGATGACTTCTCAGTGTGGCTTGACCTCGTTGTCGACATGGCGATGACTTTACTCACGGCGTTGATTCATGTGACTGTTCTTTGATCTAGGCTCTCGACAGGGACCGCGAGAAGAATACTCAGGTACAGCCGAAGGGCAACCGCGATAGCCACGTTGGTCTCACAAAGGTGGGGATGGTATGCAACTATTGCAAGAGGGTTTAAGATCGATCCAATGAATACCAGCCGTTTCCTGCTGGGCGGCGCATCGTGCGCCCGCGCCCACACGCAGTAAACCGACTTGCATATGAGGGTTTAGGAACGACCCAATCATCTCAAAAGCACGGCGGGCATCTCGACGAACCAACCCCACCAAAGGTTGCCAAAAATGAGGCTGTTATGGCGGACAGGTTTTCTGACTGCTTGCACCGTTACACACAAAAGGACCCAACGCACTCTGTTTTCCTCGATTTCAATGCTCTGGAAACCTGGAATTGCATCACTCTTCGTTCTTGGCCTCGTGTGAGGTCTGCATCTTTTTGCTACGTTACACTTGATGACCATGGATTGGGCACCGACTGACTCGTTCCAAACCTCCTTGCCGTGCGACAAGCCACCGGAGGCTCATGACATGGCTTCGGAACACTATTACCAGGCACTTGAGAATCAGCTCATCCAACACCATTCATGGGGCTATGCGGACCATGTTCTCTCAATTCCCTCGCAGAATGGGACTGTCTTCTCAGAAACACCTCTACAGTTCGGCAACTATGCTGAGGGTTATCTACCTGCTAACTTGGAAGCGTCTGCCAACCACATGCTTCTCTCCAACGCAAACTTTGAGAGCGACATCGGTACCATGGGGTTATCTGATCTCAATGTAAACACCTCTGATCATGTAACAGACATGATTAGTCCTCGGCACCACGACCATCTATACGCTTGGGGTTCATCAGAGATGATTTCTCAAGAAGACGGAGTGTATCATGCTGCCTGCATGATGCTCTATAATCACTCTAACATCAATGTTGGTTCACATGACAGTGGTGAATTAATCACTATCCATGAAAAATCTTCAGCATCGAATGCTATGATTTTATTTCCAGGAACTTCGGTATCTTTCGCTGGGCCATCAGATACTCGGCAGATGAGCTACGTTGAGCCAACGGCGATATGCGAAGACCAAGCAATTCTAAACACTGTCACCCCACTGCCTATATCGCAACCGCCAGCAACCCGAAAGACAATTCGCAGCGCGAAGAAGGTATCCCACTCTGATACCAAATGGGATGAGCTTCGAAAAGACCACCTCAATCGTCTCTACATCAAGGAGAACCACACCCTGGATGAAGTAGTGTTTGAACTGGCTGCTATCCACAATATCGAGATCGGGTACGTTGCTCAGTCCTCTCCATGCAAAAACGAGTTGCTTACCAAACCCCACCAGGAAGTCTACAATCGAGAGACGACTCAAGGACTGGCCGGAATTCTCGAAAAATAACGTTAGCCAGCAGCACCAACAGGAGGGCGTCTCGACGCGCCGACGTACTGCATCGGCATTGACGTCCTTGAGACCAAACTCCACCTCCCCTTTTGCACAGTTTCCATTTGTTTCTCTGAATACCACAAGACGACAAGCCGAAGTCGAGAGAATACGGGAACTATCCCCCGCTACCTATCTCCACCAGGAGAGGATGTTCCACGCGCTAGACCAGCTCGTCAAAGGTCTTCTCGCCTCGGGCCAGAAAAGCTGGACAGTTGATCCAGTACGGCCCATCTCCTTCATCGCACCAAACAGCGGCGGCCGTACAGAACATGCGTCGACGACACCTCGTTCACCACCCTCACAAGACTGGGAACCCCTCGTCGAAAAGTGCCGTGGCATGGCCACCCTGGCAGAGACATCACAGTTCAGCGAACTCCTCTCTGTATTTGGCAACGTCCTGGCATCGACAAAGCAGATGGTCCAGATCTGCGCCCCTGATTTCCTCGTCTACTTCTGGAAAATCTGCATCGCCCTCTTCCAAGTCCGCATCGGAGGCCGGAGAGACTACCTCTGCCTGCGCCTCTTTCTTCACAGCCTCGGCGCCTACCTCGCCAGGTCCCCCTCGGTCGGCGCGCACCACGCTGTCACCGTCTTCGCGGCGTCGCTGATCGGCGTCGTCGAGTCGGAACCGCTCGATCTCAAAGTCACGCTCGGCCTGGCGTACTGGAAGGCCATCCACGTGCTCGCCAGCCTGCTGGGCGGCGACCACGCTATCGTGCTGAACATGACGACCCATTGCGTGCGGCACTGGCCAGGCCGGTTCACGCCGCAGAAACACGTCCTCGAATCTGCGTACCAAGAGCTCCTGTCCAGGAAATCCTCGGCTCCGTGGGCGCTATCGGAAAAGGATGTCTCGTTGCAGCTGGACTATCTGCGCACCGTGTCTGCGAAGAAGAACTACGCCCCGGACGTCATACAGCGGGCAGACGAACTCCGCAGGATCACCCGAGATATCAGCCTGAGCAAGGCAACTACGGGCCGCCTGCAAGCGACCGTCACTACTCGCGCCTTTGACTTTACGACGGAACTGCTGACGGCTCACCACCTAGAGGCAGCAAGCCACGCGCGCGACGCGGATTCCGTGGAGGCCAGTCAGGCAGTGGCATTCGGCCTTCTCAACACGGCGATAGAGATCTTCCGAGAGGGAAGCCTCGAGTGCCAGATCCGCGCTGTAGCGTTCTCAAAGCGATTGGAGGTCCACCTGAGGGCATCGGGACGGAAGAAACAGGGGCTGGATGAGAAGGACCGAGGACGAGATGTGCGGCTCGCCATCAAACGGGCTGTGATGGAGCCGTCCTGGGAGCCAAGTTTCACACCCACGGTGAGGAGATCATCACGTCCTCGAGCGTCGACCAAGGCGGCTTGGGCGGCTCAGAAGCGCCGAACCCGCGTGGAAAGCCGGGATCATCTGGTGTGTATGCTCCAGGCGGAGAGTCGCACGCGGATCTCTACGTGAGCCTGATGGGCGAGCTTAGTTGGGACGTTGGTTTCTGAGAACTTTGTCAGAGAGGTTTCTTTGTGATGTTGAGATATTTACCACTCGGAATAAAGGACAGCTTTTGCTCCGCATTGAGAAAGGATTGTACAATCCCATTGTCTTTGGTTCAACTACTTTGATGTGCTGTCCATCGTCCCAATTATTCTCACTTTGGCTTCTTTGACAGATTCAATGAGACCTGTGGCAAGCAAACTGCTCGGCAACATACTTGCAAAGAGAGGAAAACAGCAAACACTCACCTCCTTAGTTCATTCCGCCATCGGGAGAAAGTCATTAGTACGATATCAAGGTAGATAAATTGAGACTTAGACTCACAGAATTATCATGCCAAACACAAATCGTCCTTTCATTCCAAATCCTCTATTGCGCCTCAAGTTCACATTGCAGTAAGCACAGCCAGGCCGCTGGATACTCTTCACATAAAACACTTATATCACAATGGATCAACTCAAAAAGCTCACCCGCAAGGTGAAAGCATCCCTCACCGACAGCCCCCCCTCCTCCCCCGAAGAACCCCCTCGATCCTTCTTCAACACAACCCCTCCCCCGCTGCTTCGGCGCGTCTCCAACCGCCTCGCAACAGGTCTCAAAGACCTGACAGACCGCGGCCCCCCTTCCTCTCCCTCCTTCCGCCCTCCCCAAAACGAAGCCTCCTCAAGCCTAGTCCCCGTCATCCGAAGCCTATCCCGCCGCGGCGCCGGCGGCAGCGGCAGAAACAGACCGATCCCCCACCTCCCATACCGCATCCCGGACCCGGATCCCATGGCCCCGTTAGGCGGCGGACGATCCACGAACCCGGGGTCCGTGAAGCACATCCGCGATAAGTTTGTCCGGTGGACGGCGCGTCCGGGCGGGGAGTACGACGCCCGCTGGAAGGGCGCCTGTATCCCGATGGGTGAGCACGTCTCGAAGATGCTAGAGTGGTATACCCAAAGTGACGTCTACGAGTTCCCCTTCATCGGCACCGTCACGCGGATGAGCTGCGGCGCGACAAACGCGTTCTACTTTGTCGAGTTCGAGCCCACTTCCAGGCCCGTCGGCCAGGGTAAGTCGCCGCCGCTTCCGCGACAGGTCATCCTCAAGCTCAGCCTGCCTGTGTGTCCCCACGAGAAGCTCGAAGCCGAGGTTGCGGCGATGGTGTTTGCTAGGCAAGTATCCCCGGCCATGGTTCCTCAGATCCTCGTGTTTGACTCCATCGGTAGGAACCCGCTCGGGTTGGAGTGGATGATTATGGAGGTGCGTACCGGATTCCCTTTGCTCAGTGCCTTCGAGGAGAACTACATCCTCGCGGCGCACGACCTAAACATGGCTAAGCAGGATACCGGGTTGGAAGGGTTCGGGGACATATCGCCCGAGACGATGCCGTCCCTGAGCGACGAGGACACGAAGGCCATTGCGAGGGAAGTGCAGCTGGTTCTTTCGAAGTTGCAGAGCTCTCTACCGACCATCCCCAAGAACCAGGTGAGCATCGGGAGTCTTCGCATCGATTGGTCAAAGAAAGAGTTCTTCACCGGACCGATAGTCCACCCTCACTTCTACAGCCGTGACAGATACTGGCAAGTGCGGAACAACGGGCCTTTCAGATACATCGAAGATTACGTTGATGCCTACACTTCGGTCTGGGAGCCCGAATTCAGAAGCCATCCCGAAATCAAAGTGCGTATAGGGAAGTTGCGAGAGATAGCCCGGGCAATGACAAGCCGTGTTAGGTTCAGTGTCCCCAATCCGATTCAAGTCGAAAGTACTGGTGGCAGCGTGGATGGCTGGCCTGTGAGTTTAGTCCATCCAGATCCTCACCCAGGTAACATTCTCTTCAACGGAAACCGGAAATTGGCAAGCATCATGGGTTGGGAGGATGCGGTCTTGATACCAGCGCCGCTGCGAAACCTGCCCGTGGCATTGGATTGGGCGATGCAACTCCACGGAGTGACTGATGCCATTGATCCCATGCAGGTGAATGTGCTTGAGGCTTTGCCCATTCGTACAGAGCGAGTACTACTGACATTGCAGGAATGGGCGAAGAGACATGTCTCCGAATCACTAGAACCCGTGATGAATTTTCAAGGAGGGGTCGATGCCTCTTTCCAAGCATTGAAGATAGCCTGCGAGGAGATGATGCGGCAGAGAAGTATAGATTGGATTGAGCGTGTCCATTCCCAGCTCGTTGGCCAGTCTCATAGGGAAAGGTAGGTCAAGTCTTGCGTGGACAGAAGGCGTGGATAGGGTAGAAGTTCATAGACAAACCAACATTCTGACAATCATGCAAGAGGTTCTATCAGACCGACATGCAAAGTGATGCGGAGCAAGGGTGTAGATAGCCTCACACTGTGTGAGAAATACTGCGCCACATCAGTGTAGTCAGATGAATGAGATCGAAGTAGATCTCGGGGGACGGCTGTGAGGAGGAGGTGCTCCGGGGCCCATGCATCCATCACATTGAGAATAAATAAGGCTTGGCAAGGTATCCTTGTGAGTTCGTGGGGCCATCAGCCGCGTAAATCAAAATGGGGGCAATGACAGGGATGGCAATGGAGATGTGGTGGCCTGTGAAAGATTGCTTCACTTGATGCCAAATCCTGAGTCTGGTGACAGTTCATGAACCTTGGAACAGGGCAGACAAAAGCAAAGCGGCCGTGATGTAGAGGCTTCGGGCCGCTCAAACGTTAGTAGGGAGATTGCAGGCCGAAGGAAATGAGTTCATGGTTTGGTGATGCAGTGGCGTGCCGAAAGACAGAAGAATGGCGTCACAGGGAGCTGAGGTATCCGTGAGGTGCATCGCACTAATGACCGGGCCTTGACGTCATGGATTGCAGGCTGGTGCTTTTTTGGGGGCTGGCCGCTGGTGGGTGGTGTGTGTTTGACTGCTTGCCGGTCGATCGCGATTCTAAGAAGGAGAAGGAGAAGGAGAAGTAAGAAGAAAAAAGATAGAGGAAGACGCTATGCCATGTGTAGCGTGCTAGGTAGGCCACTAGGGAAGAAGAAGATGGCGCGCATCAATGGGATGCGTGGATGCCAAAAGAGAATCATGACAAGAGACCAGATCTTGATAGAAGTGAGATGGGGAGATGGGGGACAGCTGGACAAGCACCTGAGAGCTCACAGACTTGTCATTGACAAACCTGGACTCGACAGGGCTTGAACACGTCTAGACTAGGCGATTACGTGTCAGTGGCCCGTAGCGGCATCCACCGCATGACGAATTGGGAGCATTTGACAGCAATAAAGTGACAGAAGGGGAGGTGATCGTTGGGCGACGTCGTCTGGGCAAGGCTTGAACGGGTTGCGATGCCGCTGCCAATGTGCCAATGATTGGCAATGCAGAATGCAGAATGCCATGGGTTCAAGGTCAGGTTAGGTTAGGTTAGGTTGATGGAGCATTGGAGAGACCTGGAGACTGGAGTCCTGGGACGCGGCACCTGCCAGATCCTTGCATCAGTTTATTCCGAATGCCGCGATGATCCCGGCCTTGGCGCGTATTGTTTGATGAATGGGAAGTGTGGCGTATTTGGCGAATTGAGCAAGTATTGAGGGATGCCAGATTGTAAAGGCCTAGACGTTCTGTGGCTGTGAAGGAGAAATCATCGAGTGTGGCCGGGGTTGAGTGAGTGTGTGAGTGTGATTGAAACGCAGAGAGCATGCTGATGTTGCAGCCCTCGCGCAGCTCTTGGGATGCTTCGGATGCATCTGGTTGGGAGGACGGTTACATTTTGCGGAAAGGATGAGAATGCATAGGGAATAATCTCCAGAACTGGTGAGACGTTGAGCAAATCATCGGTGAAAAACTGACCAGCGGCCATCGTTCAGCGGGAGGCAGAGACATGTTTCTTTCCCGGCTCAGGCTCCTGCCTCCCGTCGTCTCTCTGTTGGTTGGTCAATGGATAATGGCAGGGAAGGAGCAAGGATGGGGAGGGAGGGAGGAAGGAAGGAGGAGGACGGGAAAGGCTAGAACCGAGCTCAAGTGGAGCCAATCAAGCACCATCGGCTTCCCCATGTCGCTTTGTAGCGTTGTACCTCCTTCCGCTGCATGTTCAAAAACCCAAGCGCGGAAAGAGAGAGACGGTTAGCGTGAGAATGCCTGTCGTGTCCAGACCCGCGCTTTCGTTGACATGACGACATGGGCCAACACCACGCCATTTGCATCGAGGATACAAACTTGCTGGAAGTTGCGATGGGTTGCTGAAACAGTCGGAAATCCCATGTGCCTATGTACCGCTACCGCTGCAGTCTCCTCATGGCCTCCCCCAAGGCAGCGTGTCATCTCGATCCAGTCCCAAAGTGGGCAGAGTGGTGTTTGAGACACAACAAATGAACGGGATATTGGACAGGGCCTTGGGCCATCCACACCGGCGCACGCAGCAGTGCAGCACCCAGCACATCCCTTCTGCATCCCTTCTGCATCCCTTCTGCATCCCTTCTGCATCCCGTCATATCCTGGCGCACATCATCAAGTCAGGTCGACCAAAGATGCCAGAACCCAATTAGCGGTTCACGAGGTCGACAGACGGTTTGTTCGACAGCTGTCTATCTAGCCTGAATGGCACCTGATAGGGGAATAGGGCAGATGATAGTGGGACAGAGGATAGCATCCTGGGGATCGGGACTTGGGTGAGAGACAGTTACCATTTCCAAGCACAGCAGGGAGACTCTATGGTGATACGAGGCATTGACTTGAATAGCGTCCGAATAGTCGAGCTATCCACCGTTGACAATTTCAGACAGCGCCTAGCACCAAACTCTCCTAGGTGATCTGATATCCGTACCGAGTAGTGCGACAGAGATCCCATCACGAGGGGAGGCTGGGAAACGGTTGTCTGAGAAGCAGCCGCCCGGACGCTTGTACTTCGTACTGTACATGTGCCAACTTGCCGTGCTCCCAATCCACCAACCTGCCTATCCTACATCGGACCATTTTGCAACAATAAAGGAGCCCGACGGTCGCGAACAGCGGCGGCTGTGTG